TTTGCCACTTGCGTGAAAAACCAGGGAGGGTGTTCGTGTGTTTGGATACGGACAGGTATTGATCGACCGCAGTAACGGATATATTCGCAGATAGGAACGTAGACATACCATTTTGGGGTTCTTGTGTTTGTGACCCCTGCTTCTCTGTTTTCCGGAAGCACTCTTCTTCTTCTCTTCTCTTGCTTCTGCGTTTCTAATACAAGCGATATTCAGTCTCTCCCTTCCAAGTCGCGGACATATACAACATACGCCGTATTGTGTGCTTGTGTCTGAATGGCGCTCCAGTAGAGAGTAACGCAGGAGAGTTTCTGCGTGCGCCCCCAGGGGTAAACAAGAGTCACCAGGTGAATTTGAAGTGTCCATCAGGTATTTCCCGTGCTGTGTGGTGGACTTCGGTAATAAACAATTATTTTATTCCAACAATGCCCTGCCCAGGGCTCACCTTTTGACGTATGTACCGCCACCATTGACCCCGGGGATGGTGCGTTCTGATCCCCTGAGGTTTACGGGAACTTCCCCGCGTTAAGGAAACATTATCCGAAGCAAAACCATATGTTTTCTTAAACCGGGGTCGACTGTACTCCACGGAGCTTGCAATAATATCCAATCTCTTTTGCCCAACTTTCTTGAATAAATTTGTCGAGGTCTGTCTATGCAGAGCACATGGGAGCACTTCACACCGCAATGTCGTACCACCCACAAGTCCACTCTCCCTTTCGACAGACAGACATGCAGACGTTCATGGGGGTATTGGTCGGCACTTGCGACTGCCAAGTTGCATGTCTCGCGGTTGATTTTTTATTTTCCCTCTCGTTGATACGGCGATGTAGAAATGTGAATGTGTCGAACCCCATGGCGCTGCACCGGTCGGTCTCGTGTCCGGTAAGCAGTCGAAAAGTAGTGCGCTTTGGACTCCAGGCTGCCACCCTGGACAAGGAACGCAGGTGGGCCGTCGTTGTGGCGGTCACGCTGGAGCACCCGTCATAGAGGGCATCCTCAGTAGTGCCGTCGTCCCCCTAGATTTCAGTGCGCCTATTATTTCCGGATGTTGCCACTAGAATTAGCCGGCGTGTTGATCGGCAGGACATCGTCTCTTACTCATCAACATCGCCAGTATGTCTTCGGAGGGTAGTCGGGTGGAAAATGGAACCCATTCATGAAGGCTCTGCTATGTGCACGAGTGCCTGACGTGGGCCCCGTGCAAAAATCACAACCGACAACAACTCCCGCCGACGCTCGACGGACCACAAGATCCTCCTGCAAGTGATTGCCTTCCGGCGCGTACACTGCACTCGACGGACGTTGTGTGCTCTAATAGTTAAGCCCTCAGGAGAATCGGGGGCGGGTTTGAGACGAATGTTGTTCGCCTGGTAAGCACGGGATGTGCGCGACGTCAGAAGTATGCAGGTGCGTCAACGGTGCCTAGTCAGCATGCAGCGGCGCATCCCCCAACGAAACGTCAGAGCTGGCGATTACCCCACATTATTCCCAGAAGAATGCCTCGTTCCTTCAATCCACGTCATGTTTTCCATCGAGTGTTCAAAGTATATTCACACCCCCGAATGCTTCGTGAATTGAGCAGAAAAAGAAAAAGGTGCGAAACAGCAAACCAACAACAAACACCGGACAACACGAACTACCAATCAAAGAACATGGAACATCCCTCCGACCAGGACAATGCTACTCGTTCACACCAGCGTCATTTCCAAGAGTACCTCATCGCTCGCAAACACTGTCGCGGCATCCAGCAGGTACTCATCAGTTAAGGCCATCTCACTTCCCCCGAGGGCCATGTCTCCTCCCCAAACCTCGGGCCCCACCGTGGGATTGCGTGCCACCGCCGACGGAGCACCAGCAGCACCACCTCCACCACCATTGTCTCCCTGCGAACAGAACTGCTGTCTAGGAGCGGCGGCTGCACTTGACCAGCCGGCACAAGCACCCCCCGCTTCTGCAGCCTCTGCAGCCGATTCGGGGGTGAGCATGGCCGTCTCCGCCACAGGTTGCCACCGTATATCTCTAGCATCATCAGCAGCCGTATCGTCATCCCCGACGCCGTCTTCTGACAAGCTAGGTGGGGCGTGAGGGAGTTTGGGGAGAGGTGATGGCACAGCGGTAGCATCTGTTGGCGTCATCGGTGCTGGGAACCGCTGCTCCCCGCTTGCCAGCTCCGCTGGCAGCGAGCCACTGTTCTGACGTTCTTCTCCGATGCAGGGAGAATTCATCGAGCCGGATGCAGGTCCAAACGTGACATCTTCGTCACCGCTGAGGTTCGTCTGCAGAGGTCCCTCGCCGTGGTGTGCGTTGTAAATCTCCGCCTCGAAGAACCTTCCGTCCAGGGTGGGAAAAGGATCCGGGCGAGCAAGATGGACGGACGCGACAGGGGGACACAGAAAATGCAAGAAAACGGGTAGGGGAAGGACTTGATGGGAGCACAAGCGAACCCATGCGTGCTGGGGGACAACAGTAGGTCGTATTGCACATCGCGGAGAGGGCAGGCACCAGGAAAAGCTACGCAACAGTCCCCAAACAGAATCACACGAAATCAGAAGCAACAAGGAACGACAGGCGTTGAAATCTACGATCGTTCGCCACAGGCTGTCACAGCAAACTGATCTTTACGTATAGCACTACGCGCATGATGAACAGACAACAACTGGATGACGCGGCCATTCAGACCTGCAGAACATGTTGTCGCAGATCTGGGTAATCGTCCTCCACTCTTCATACGGTGGAGCTCGCCAACATCAGGGGGGGCGGATAGTGTTGTACGCAACGCTGACGGCATCGTACACATCTCGCCGTTTGGACAAGTGGCTCACGGCCAGGGTGCAGTGTATGAAGTGGGGCCTGCGAGCAGCCATATAGTGCGACAGACAACGTAGGCGAGGGAGCGATTACACCTTGGTCCCCTGAGGCGATATCTGTAAAGAAGCTCGCGTGAAATCGTTTGGCGCTTTCGAGTCTAGATAAACTGAAATTGGGTCTTACCCAGACTTGTCACGACGACATTGTTGACGACGACAGTGATACTCGATTCGATTGGAGGCCGCTGTGCAGTCCAACACCCTCGGCCATCCGCACGGTTCTCCTTCCATGGCTTACTGGCTTTGGCGGCACTTAAGTATGTCAGCGTCGAAGATCTACACGCTGTTTTCAAGCAGTTGTCGAGTGATCGCAACCCACCTCGACAGACGTTCACAGCTCGATTGCTTCACAACCAAGAGGGTGCCAAACCGACCAACAGGGCCAAGGAAACGTCTCGACGAGACAGCGGATCTAGGGAGGGGTGCGATCACCAGCACAGTTACGGAGATAGCGTAGGCAACGAGGACCAACCGCTTTCAAGAACCCACCAGAGCCAAGATATCACAACAAGGTGTTGTCGAAACGGGCAAAAGTCAGGATTTCCTCTAGCCGATCGCCATCGACCAGACGAGTACAATAGCTCCTGCAACGACAAATGATCGAAAACGAAGGCTCGACGCAGTGTTTCAGGGAATTGCCAACAACGCCCAACCGCACACACAAAACACAATAATGCTGACAACGGTGAGCTTCAGACCCGTAATCTCGGGGCAGGGATCCAACATGCAGGGCGACTAACGGGGCATCCACTAACACACCTGAACCGGACGATGCCCGGGTAGCGCAGCACGACATCTACGGACGCCTGAAGACACCTGATCAAGTCTTAAAGTTCCCCGTTGACAGCTTTCATGTAGGCCACGTTGCTGCGGGAAGAAGATTATGGAGGGGTGGCGGTAATGCACAGAGCACGATGTTATGGGTCTCACGAGCACATGGAAAAAACATGAACTGGCAGGGAATCATTCGATGGTTAAGTACCTGTTCCGGAGACGTTGCAGCGATCGTGCCCACCGGTGGACGGAGTTACCGCTCATCCGAGCTTGACGATTGAGCTCCAAACGAGGTCGTGCCCGATGCCCAAAACAAGAGCTGCGGCATGGGGCCGCTATTCGCAAGCGGCGTGTACAAGCAGCAGTGAATGTTGTTGCAGGTGTTGAACGCTATCCGTCGAGGTGTCAGCAGACGGCTCTCGGTCGCTCACCTGTGACAGAAAAAAACGCCGACCCCGGAGCATACGTTCGACCTAGGCGCCCAACGCCGACAAGATAGGAGCAATGGCGTGGATGGTACAGTCCGTGTGTCAGGTTGCGGACACCGAGCGAGATACAGCAGTAGGCAGAAAAGAGGAAGACGACAGATCAATCCTCTCTGGTGGAAGACGACTCTGACATTTAGGTTTGAGAATGCAATATTGCATCAAAAGGATTTAGTGTGGTCATACTTGAACCCATACAACCCTGTGTCATTTGGGTTTTTGAATACAAGCATATACAACAAGAGCGTACGGAGTATAAGTTTTACTTACTGCTTGGCCGTGCAATATGCCTCCTCTGCGTTTCAATTTGATATCGGTGTGTTTGTGTGGGTTTCATGTGTTCCACATGTGGGGCCTCCTTGCTGGCGGTCGCATCACAAATGAGCTGTTCCAGCGGTTGTCGGCCACGTGTCACCCCTCGGTTCCGCCCACCTTTCTAGTGTCTTCGTTAATCGCGCATCTCTGGCAGTCTCCTGGACGAAGCGTTTCATAGCAGCTCCCGAGGGGGGCACTTCCGGTTCATCGTGCAAACTGTCGACCGACTCCTTGCCATCATAAGCCAGCCCCTGTGTTCCCTTGCCCCGCACTCGTTCGTCGTTGTCCTCCACCATTCCACCGCCTGCCTACTCTCGGTGGGACTTTCCCTGGACAGGTTCCTGGTTCTCCTTCCGCTGTGCCGCCCCCCTCACCGCGGCCAACGCTCCCGACGAAGTCATGTCCGCGACGAATGTCTGGTTGAGCCGCGGTCTGTCACGAGGAAGAAGTGGCACAGATCGTTCTTCATTACGACGTTGTCCACCTGCCACACCAGCCAGCGCGAGTCGCGATCGTTCGTGTAGTACCGCGCGTCCGCACACGAGGAGAGAAACGAGTGGCGGGTTGATTATGGCTTGGCGAGGCCATTCAAGCGAAAAAGCCACACAAAAGTGCGGAAGCCGCGACTACCGTCCACCGAAGCGTGAAATCGGGTGAATGCCCTGTCGTTGGCCCAGGAAGTGCAGGTGCTCACATGCTGTATGGGGCCTACATGGCCAACATTTTCATGGGTTCTATGGTCGAGAAGGACCCAAAATTACGCACGTCAATGCGCCTGATGGAATCATGCATCCACACGCGGAAACCGGAGCACAAAATTTCCATAAAAACAAATCCATAGCCCGTATACCCATGAACCCGAGTACGACCGAGAGTCAACAGACCAGACAATAAGGGCTGCAGGGCAGAGGCCAACCGTTCACCTGATCCACCAGTAAGCAGTCAGGTCGCCCGTCCGCACCCGGCTACACCCCATATTCTTGAACAGCCTCATCTTCTCCGTTGTAAGAAGCATGGCCCCCAGTTCCTGCGCGTGACAAATCGGGGCAGGAGGGTCTTGACGTCCGACACCCAAAGCACCCTCGATGCGCCGCAGGCAGCCAAGTTTACAGGCGACACCATGAACATCACGGGCAACGCTGTTGGGGACGACGTCCAACAACCGAAAGGTGGCGTCGCACTCTAGACCGACAGTGGCAAGATGAGCATTCCAGGCGACAGCAAGCCCTTCGACACTACAACACATACCCCGAGCACTGTGACGCGACGGCATCGCTCCTTGCGTATGTCACCTTGGGCGCCTTCTGGTCCAAGCTGGGATACAATGTCCATCGCGAAAGATAAATAGCGCTCGATCTTGTCCTGCTCATCGGAAACGATCACGGCAACGATTAATCAGGAAGAGGAGATAGAACGAAGATCGAAATTAGGGCAATGCGGCATTGGAAGCGAGGGATCAACCGTCTGACGAGAGCTGTATTAAATAACGATCACTACCACACCAGACGCTTACCGTGGGAAGCGCAAAATGCGGCGAGGAGGGTGTCCGTGGGGATTGGACAACATCATAGATGACCTCCAGCAACCGTTGCGAGCGAAATGAAGCATTTCACCGAAATTGCATCGGGTGGTGGCATACGATATGTTTTGGGGATTTGAAAGAGTTGCTGGTTGAGCGGGGATGCATGCGACTTGCCCCATCGAGGAGGATGCCATGCAAGAAGGACATGGTGAGGTAGGCTCTGGGAGCCGTGTCCACCGGCAGACCGGCGCATGAGTGGCGAGTTGAGAACCAAAATTCCGACAACAGCAACGGAAAGTAGGGGGAGGACGCGGGGTGGGACGCGGGGGGAGAAGAGTTAGGGAATGGGATGTCAAAATGTAATGACGTCATTGTCAACACAACCCACCAGCAAACCTCAACACAACACCACAAACACCAACAGCCCCACCCAACGACAATGGCACGAAGATATCAAACGCCACTTTGCGAGTGACAGAACCTCCTCGAATATTGATTGTCTTAGCTCGATTGCTCCACCCCCAAGCGGGTGCGAAAACCCACTGCTAAGTGGAAGGCAAAGTACCGTGTCGGCAGGGGCTCCATCTCGGCTGTGGAGTATTCGAACTACATATGACAGTCTGTCTATGGGGGCGTGCAATCACCTGCACGATCAAGGTCTCCCCGACTACTTTGGAAGTAGCGGAAACAAAGACATTAATCGCCTTGCCTTCGCCAACCCTTCTTCATCACCTGGCGTGTTCGATGCTTCTCCCGTCAAAGCACTCAGCCAAAGACTCCCGCGCCAAATTGACGTACCTCCCCACCTTTGGAGAAATGGTTCGCAAGAAAGCATCATTCGATGATGATACGCGAGAGGAAACGATTGAACATATTGACCACGAAAACCATTTCGAACTGACAGTTGAAAAAACGCCACGTGTACCCTTCCAACAATACGATACCCCGCAATCATCAGGTTGGATAGTTCCAACGCCGCAGAAATACACCAGATTCTCTTACGACATTTGTTTGATTTTTCGAGACCAGCCGGGCCTCCGCGTTCGCGAAACGTTGGGCTATCCAAACACTTTCAGCTCGTCGTTGGTACCAAGTGTGAGATCCGCGCTTAGACCCAATTTTTCAATCGGCCGCAAGCCCATTCCGTCCAATACCCAGCTAATCAGATCCCGTGCAGCAGAGAGTAGCTGAATAACGCTTGATAGCAGGTGTTATGAAGTACGAATCCCGAAAGGGAGCAACAATTGGGTCAAAATATCAGCACAAACTACGAAGCATACCTCGTCCCCCGACGCAATGCAAAGAAACGGGGGGACGTGCGGGACACTGGAAGGAATGCAGCTTGCCGTTTGGGCTGTCGACTGCTCGTGCTGTGGTGGCGACTCACATTCTCTACCGGAACGCCCCTCATGAGCGCCCCCAGCGCGATGGCGCACCACATCATGCACATGGCCGCATGGTCCGGTGGCATACCACGACGAACCACCGTCCGGTCCCCATTCCACCCTTTCTCCTCGTCCTCGCCCTCGTCCTCGGCCCAGTGAGTCCGGACGCCCAAGTGCTTCTCGTTGTAGCTCTTCCGCGGCGGTTCCGCTCCCATCATGATCTCCACCATCGCGTTGCGAACAGTGCTACGAGAGATGCGGTCGGAGCGGGTGCGCGGAGAGGGGGGGTGTACTCATAGTCGCGCATGCCGTGTCGTTAGACCATTGACCTCGCATCCCAACAACGCCGGGGCGGAACACGCCGGGGTCTCACCCGACCAGGCTCTCTAATCACCAAGCGCGCCGCACCGCGAGGTCTTCGGCGTGTCGCGGGAATGCGGGGGTGGGTGGGGGCGGGGGTGTACTCATTGTCGTGCATGTCGTAGTCGCTAGACCGTTGACCTCGCATCCCTACAA